TAGGAGAAAAAACCGTGTATAGACATTTCATATACAATTATATATATACATATATAATTTTTGTTTTATAGGAAAAATTTTTTACTGGATAGAAATAGACATATGTACAGTACTGGCCAAAAGAATATCACGTTTAGGTTTTCTGAGCATAATTTTCGTCGAAGTGTACCAAATGTGTTCAAAATTTTACAGTGGACACCTGATAACAGGTACATCTTGTACACAAAGGGTAATGAAATTTCACAAAGTACGTTATGATTTTCGAATTTTTCATTCGAGCACTTTAAAATTAGTTATGATCAAAAAATTGAAAGGTGATATATTATTGGCCGGTACTGTATTCAGTACTCTTGTAAAAATGAGTTTATTTTATTTATTTAAAAAGGACATTATGTAAAAAATGCAAAACACATGTAATCCAACCTTACCAAAGAATTATTGCCTCATAAATGAAATTGATATTGTATCAAGTGTGAAGAAATACATTTCAGGTTTATATAAAGAAAAACATTTTATTCATTAGTCAATTTTGACAGTTTTTTTTACAACAAACTTTTTAATTAATTTCAAGTTTTGTTGATGAGCGTATTGTCTCATTCTTAGTCGAACATAGTAAATTAATGCAAATGATAGTATATTAGATGCGTGCTCTTTACACGGAAACGTAAATTCATACGTTGAAAGAACATCATCCAACGTTAATTCAAAAACATCTACATGAGATGCATGTTTTGAGAAGCACGTTTCTATGTGACGAACGAGATTAAAAAATCTAAGATTGGGGTAAATTAAACCACCACGAGTTTTTACGTCAGTTAGCTTCATTACCGAAGTCGATACAAAAGCTTGACTTCTGGAATCAGTTTTCACAGCTTTTATACAAATGCTACACGAGTTATAAATTTTTAGGACTTGCTTGCACAGATATCCTAAAATAAAAATCGAAATGCTTTAATAAATTCTTCACAAGCTTGAAATGATAATTTGAGAGCGAAAAACATAACTACGACAGGAAAGAACCGTACACTACTTTTACACTTACTTTTTATCCTTTTTTACAGATTTATAACGATTCTCGAATTCAGGTAAAAATAACGAAAGTAAACAAACTATAAAATATTGACAAATACAATTATAAATATTCATATATTAGGAAATTCGTTTATTTCCATAATTTCTACCCAAATCCAAGAAACATACCAACATATCCAACAATAGATCTCCTGGTTCTTAGAATTAAGAAAGGATAAAAATCAAATTAAACAGTTTAAAGTTAATATATATTAACTTTATTAACCCTTGTGTGCATTACCAACTTTACCCACATTGTTGCATATCCGGGTACCCGGGTACCCATCGCGCATTTTTTAATGGTTTGAATATTTATGCAATCGTAACCGTTTCTGTTAAGGTTTTACCGCGCAGCAAAGACAGTACTCGATAGTGAGAGAACACACAACTTTATTATAGCCACAAAGTGGCAGAAACGAACATAAATCTGTATCTGAACAGTAACACGTGCCCTTAATACGACTCTGAACAATCTGGATATGACGAACGTATAACCGAGTGCTGGGACGGACCAAAACTTACTAACTAAAAAGAGGGGCAAGCACACAGCACGCACACGCACGCACGCTCTCTGTATTCATACGCCACTCAACCCCAGCGCCATGTATTCTTACGCCTGTATTCCATGCGCCTACACAGAGGCTTGAGAAACAACTAGTCCTAACACTCCCTCCTTTTGAGAGCCTCTGTACTTACTCTACGCATACCCATTCTTGTTCGCAGGTTACAAAACACTTCTTTACTTAATGCCTTTGTGAAAATATCCGCGAGTTGATCTTTACTGGATACAAACATAATGGCAATTTCCTTACTTGCATATTTCTCACGAATAAAATGGTAACGCACATCTATGTGCTTACTTCGTTTATGGAATTCAGGATTCCTTATTAGCTTGATCGCGCTCTGATTGTCCACACTTATATTGGGAATACCTGACCATTGACATCCGTTGTCGCATAACAATTGTTTGAGCCATAATGCTTCCTTCACTGATTCGCACGCCGCAATATACTCCGCTTCTGTTGTACTGAGTGACACAGTCTTTTGACGAAGGGAACCCCATGTGATGGCTCCTCCTGCTAGCATGAACAGGTATCCACTCGTGGAACGTCTTGTATCAAGGTCTCCAGCATAGTCAGCGTCTGAGAAACCCTGAAGGCAGAGATCCTGTACTGATCCATCATAAAGAATGCCCATGTCACTCGTACCTTTCAAGTACCTACAAATGTTTTTGATTGCGCGCCAGTGTTGTTCATCATACTTGGTAATAAAACGACTTAGATAGTTAACTATAAATGTAATATCAGGTCGCGTTACATTCGCAAGAAACATTAGACTACTATAGCCTGCCGGTACGGTACGTCGTTACGCTCATCTTTATCTTCTGTCGTAACTAAGCTTACTCCTAAATCCGCGGGTATTTCTTTCGTTTTTACATCTGACATATTAAAACGCTCGAGAATACGTTTAACATATGATGATTGATGTATGAAAATTGACTTCGTCCCTATGTCTCTAACTATTTCCATACCTACGTAGCAACTGACATCTTC